CAACAGGATCAGGACACTGCCCAGCCAGCTCTTTGCCTGCCTGGAGCTAACTTCTTTGCAGCTGGCGGACAACGCTTTGACCACCGTGCCGGCTGAGATCGGGAGGTTGGTGCTACTCTCCAGGCTGGAGTTGACAGGGAACCCCTTGGAGTCACTCCCACTTGAGCTAGGCTGCTGCCCCCTGCTTAAGGAGACCGGGCTGAGCGTGGATAATGCCCTCTTCAAGACCCTGCCATCTCACGTGAAGCAGATGCTCGCCACGCCTTGCTCTGCTCCATCCCTGTGAGGCCTTCGGCTGCTCCAGAAATGTCCCTGCCTGGCGCGTGGACAGCTGGGGAGCCTGTTATGTGGCTTGTCTGTAGCTCCAGGGCATAGGGAGGAGATCTTGGTTAGCAGCAGCAAGTCGACCGAGCCCAGGCACCGGGTCTCCGGAGAACTTGCCGGTCATGGAGCCCCCTTGTCCAGGTGGCTGCATCTGTATCAAGTACAGCACCTGCTATACCATAACCACAGACCAAAATCTGGCTCCCACCCAAATAGGGTAACCCTGGCCCATGCTCCTTGCTCACAAAGGGGCTTGGGTGCAACTGAATCTGGGGTGGCAACTGAAGGGGGGCAGCCCAGGCTGGGGGGATGGGCACTCCCTGCACAGCCCAGCTCCATGGTGCCTCCCTGGACAATGGGGCTTAGGAGGAGGGACAGGGAAGCCACAGAGGCTGGAAGATCAGCTGTCCTGAGGATCCATAGCCTGTTACACCTGCAAAGCCAGGAGATCTGCTGTGGAGAGGCTACAGGGCCACCCTGTGGCCTAGAGGAGGAATGACACCTTCCCCAAAATACCCAGTGCTTCCCCCCTGGATATGAGGCAGCAATGAGGATATGACTCAAGTCAGCACAGATAAGCTCCTTACCTCCTCTTACACCATGGGACACTGGGCCAGAGGGGGCTCCATTAATCAGTGTGGACATCAGCCCCTCGAAATCCTCACATGAAACACAGGAATAGCCAGACTGGATTGCAGCAGGGGGCCCATCTAGCCCAGACTCCTACAGTGGCTGACAGCAGCAGCTTCAGAAGAAGGTGGAAGGAGCCCCCCCAGTAGACAGCAATGGAGTAACCTGGTCCCGGGGGAAGATTCCTCCTAGCCCCCAACAGCCCAGGCCCTGTAGCAGCAAATCTGTCCCTAAACTCCACTGTGTTGTAATATTTGCTATTCTAACTCTGGATGTTTCTGTTACCCGTGGAGACACCCAAACCTGCTTTGTTCTTGGCTTTAGTGATACCTTGTGGCAGTGAGTTCCACTGGCTCATTAGGGAGCAGCAAGAGCTTAGAGCCTCACAAGGAACACATTTAAAGTGCAAGGGGGAGGGGGATGAGGACAAGTGAGGGAATCTCTAAGCCAACCTGAAAATAAAACGAGTCATGTTTTAGTGCACCGTTTCTCCAATGCAGCCACCGTGGCCGCATGCAGCCACCAGGGGGTTTCCCTGGGGCCACGACAGTTTCCTGCGCAGCATCAGTCCCTCCCTTCCGCCCTGTTGCTCCTGCGTGTGCTGCCTCTCTGGAGACACAGGTGGGACACACAACGCTTAAGGAGCAGGTGAGGCGGCAAGGAGGGGGTGAGAAGACGGCAGCGGGCGGGGGTGTGTGAAGAGGCGAGTGCCAGGGGGGGCCCTGTGGAGGAGTAAGGAGGTGAGCGGCCAGCCAGCAGCAGGGTGAGGAGAGCGGGTGGGGGTCTGGCTGCCAGTGGGGAAGTGAGGAGGCAGGAGTTGAGCGGGGGTGGGGTGAGGAGGCGAGCGGGAGTGGAGAGAGGTGGCGGGGGGGAAGCAGGGTGAGGAGGTGAGCGGCGGGCGGGGGTGGAGTGAGGAGGTGAGTAGGGGGTGGAGAAATGTGGCAGAAGACGAGCGGGGGATGGAGTGAGGTGGCGGGAAGCGAGCGGGTTGTGTGTGATGAGGCGAGAGACAAGTGGGGCTGCAGTGAGGTGGTGGGAGGCGAGCGGGGGTGGGTGAGGAGGCGAGCGGTGAGTGGGAGTGGAGTGAGGTGGCGGGAGGCGACCAGGGGTGGAGTGAATAAGTGGGAGGTGAGCGGGGTGGTGTGAGGTGGGAGGTGACCGGGGGTGGAGTGAGGAGGTGAGCGGGGGTGAGTGGGAGGTGGGAGGTGACCGGGGGTGGAGTGAGGAGGTGAGCGGGGGTGATGTGAGGTGGCAAGAGGCGA